TTTTGTAAATTTTCAGTTATAGAGTTTAATTTAAAAATTAAATATCTGGCTCTTGTATTTTTAAATATATATATATATATATATATATATATATATATATATTCCATTTAAACAATATAAATGAATTGACAGTTGGTTAACGTGAATTAATATAGTCCTATAGGAACCAGTCATGAGTCATGGATGGGAAAGTTCTCTCCAAGGAAGGAATAACTATGTGTTAAGCTTCATGAAGGCAAAGTTAATCATTAAATAAATTGGCTTCAGAGCTGACGGATATTTGTTGAATAAATGACTGAATGGTTGAATTAGATTTCTTAAATTGGAATTTCTGCTCTTCATTTTTGCATATCAGTTAAATAGTTACTGAATACTTAAAAATATGTATTTATATTAGGAATTGTCAGAAAATACTGCAAACTACATTATGTCAATGTCCGTTACATTTTAAATGTTTCTTCGGCATCCTAGTTTTATGGCACCTTCATTTTTTTTATTTATTTTTTTACTTTTCAGTGGTTTTTCATTTTCACATACCTTATATTACTTTTTGCTTTCCTAGTCTCTCCTATTCCCATTGCTTCTGTTTTGGTTTTCTTTGTATATCACAATAAAAAAAATAAATGGCACCATTGGGTAGCAAAATAAACAAACATTAAAGTCAGGTTATTATTATGAATTTTGATTATGAATTAGTACATGGGATTTGTCCTTTTCATATTTTTCTTGGTAAGTGGAATTGAGAATCTCACATGGCAGTTACTGCAAACAGGAAAGAGTTGCTACATGATTGCCTGCATTTGCTGCATGATGTTAAACCTATTTTATTAATAAGCCTTTTCATTTTTTAATTATACAAAGTGGCAAATAATACTAGTAAAGTTTAATTCCTCTTTGACTACCATCTCCAATTTCAGTTCTCTTTGCAGAAATAACCACTACTCTTAATTGGTATAAATTCTTTCAGACCTTTATGTATAATCATACATTTGTGCAATATGGAATTACATATTTGTATGAGCATATTTCTCTTTTTTCATAAATGATACACTCTTTATGGTTTTCTATATCTTATCTTTTTCATTGATTGATATGTCTTAGAGAACTTTGCATGTTAAAACATAAAGCTACTTTATTACAAATTATTTAAAATACCATATTTTCAGTTATTTTTGTTAATTATACTGCCAGTGTAATAGACTATAAAAGCATCTTTATAAAAGGTTCCATGTCTAATTTATCATTGTCTTTATCTCTCAGAGCCCTTCATACCGAGTTAGCATAATATGAATTAGTTAAAGAACTACTGTCTCTTGAGTGTTTCCTTATTATCCCTTTGTGGTCCCTCTAAATAAAACTAACTCTGGATTAAATTTTACTCAACATTTTTTTCTCTTTAAAACTGCTTTTTGTTAATATACTAGTATAGCATTCTGTTACTTAATGCAAGAGTCACAAATTCTAATTCTAAAAGTGTCAGTTGGGTCACATTGTTCAGTGAAGCAAGTTGGATTAGAGAAGAGAGCAGAGGTCTGGGATGAAGCTGGAGCCTGCATATTCTTTGATTATTCAGGAAATTTTTCTGTATTTTAGTTGTAATTCCATTTTGGTCCTGGGAGCGTGTCCGTGCATCCTCTTTCCTCCACTGCCATTTTCAATCTCCTGGAGCCTGCATATCCTGACTTAAAAGTGTAGCTATTGCTCAATTCCAGCCCGTTATTGGCCTCCGGAAATGTAGGTCCAGAGATCTAATTTAACCAAGTGATTAAGCACTCAAACTGCTTGGCTTTGAATGCCATCCCACCACTTACTAGTGTTGTGAACTTGGACAAATCACCCAATGTAACTCTGTTACCTCAGATCTGAAATGTGGACAGTAATAGTATCTACCACATACGGCTTTTTTTGAACATTATTCATTAAAACTATAAAGAATTCTAGAACACAGCTGACACATAATAGGTACTATATATTCCAGATTTTAACGATTTTGAGGTGCACGTTAGCATTTAAAATAAACATCTCTGAAATCAGGTTGCATCTTATAATTGGCGGCATTTCTTTGTTCTTGGTGATACATTTTAAAAAGTGGTGAATCTTATAATCGATGGCTTCTTAAATTGTATGAAATACAATGTTAGCTATCATTAGCTACCAAGCTGATTTTTTTTTTTTCAAGAAAAGGTGGGAAATCTGAATTTTTATATGAATCTTTAGATTTTGAAATATTGACTTAAAATTACTTTTAAAATTGCATTACAGTGTTTCCCAACTTACCAAAAAAATACCTTGCAGTCCCTATAGTACCTGCATTAGGTACTCAGACTAACATTTCTCTGCATGAGAGGCAATGTAGGATAGTAGAAAAAGTGTGAAAGTGTGAAGCTCCGTTAGAATTTGAACTGTGCCACCAAACAGGCAGTGTGTTTTGGGATTTATTGCTTATTTCTGAGCCTAGTTTCCTCTTCTGTAAAATTAGTTTATTAGTTCAGGTATTTGGATCAGCTGCTAGATCTGAGGTCAAAAAACAGAGCTCTGAGACAAAAGTTTGTCTTTCTCCACTAAAAGGCCAATTAGAAGGCGATCCTAGGGTAGTGTAGTTCTGCTCCTCAGGGTGTCCAGGGGCCTAGGTGCTGCTTCATACATTGTTCTGCCATCCCTAGGATGCTGTCCTTACTTGAATTGTTAAAGATGCATCACTGAACCAGGCTAAAGTTCCAGCTGAGGGAATGAGAACGAAGAATCAAGAACTCTAGCCAGGTGGCTCACTTGGTTGGAGTGTTGTCATCTGAACCAAAAATTTGTGGATTCGATTTCCTATCATGGCACATAGCTAGGTTGTGGGTGGGTCCCTGACTGCTGCGCATACAAGTCGGGGCAGCAACCAATCCGTGTTTCTCACTTGGATGTTTCTTTCTATCTCTGTCTCTATATTTTTTTCTAAAACATATTCTCAGATGAGGATTTAAAATAAAGAGCAAATAGCTTCCTTTAAATTTAAGAACATGACCTGGAAGGTACTGGCAACTCATTGGCAATGTGTCACTGCCTAGATTTAAGGAAGGCTTGGAAAGTAGTCTAGGTGGACAGCCATGTGCCCTGCTTACACACAGAGGGTTCAAATCACTAAAAGAGAGAAAGAATAGAGAAAGAGGCCCAATTGTACTGCACCGGGTTGGTTTTTTTAAGTAAGGAATAAATGGAATAATGATCATTGAGATCTACAGTTTCTTAATATAAGACAAGATACTTGTGTGCTGCAAATTTTTTGCTTGATAAATATCAACTGAAAAATGTAGACCTGTCTATATTTGAAATATATATAATACTAGAGGCCTGGTGCATGAATTTGTGCACATTAAAAGGAAATTAATTAGAAGAAATATTTTAATATCACTATTCGCTCTTTCTCTATAATAGAAGTATCAACCAAATTCACGATGGACAATGACAGATTGAAACACATACAATTGGTGCCAGCGAGAGCTTTATAATAATAAAAGTATAACATGCTAATTAGACTGGAGGTCCTTCTGGACAGCTTTCTGGACCAGACAAAGCCTGGGCTGCCAGGGAAGCCTGGGTCCCGGGTGCCAGAGGGAAGCCCATGCTGGAAGCCGGGGGAAGGAAGGCCTACTCTAGCATGAATTTTGTGCATCTCCTGTGCAGCGCCGCCCACCTCTCCCACGGTGTCACCTCCCATGCAGCCAGCCCTAGGTCCTCGCAGCCGCTGTGGCTTTGTCCGGATGGACGTCTGGAAGATGTCCTAATTAGCATGTTACCCTTTTATTTGTATAGATATGTGTGTGTGTGTGTGTGTGTGTGTGTGTGTGTGTGTGTGTGTGTACTATGTGATGTAAAATTGTTTTGGTTCATAGATGTATGCACATTTAAAAACTCATTTTTCTTTGAATATGAAATGCCATTTTCTAAATTAAAATATGTGTAAATAAATATAAAGTAAGAAATATTTTTCTGTTCCTGGAATTCCTTCTTCATGTGATACTTATCCTTTAATTTTTGACTCAAGTGGCACACTTAGTATTTCAAACTTAAACAGTATCTTAGTTTGCTATAACAAAAAGACCATAGACCAGGTGGCTTAAACAGCAACTTATTTCTCATAGTTCTGGAGACTGGAAGTCCAAGATTGAGCATCTGCTGGAAGGCTTACTTCCTAGTTTATGCATAGCCATTTTCTCACTATGGGAAAGAGATATAGGAGCTAGCTCTCTAGGGCCTCTTTATAAGGGCACTAATCCCATTCATGAAGGCTCCACCCTATGACATAACCTCCCAAAGGCCCCACCTCCTACTACTACTATCACATTGAGGGTTTAGGATTTCAACATATGCATTTGTGGGAGGGGGATATAAGCATTCAGCCTATAACAGTTTTACTTTCATATAAAATTGATTGCTTTTTCTTTTATGTGCCTGCTTTACTCAACATATACTTACATACCTTTAACTTGTTATTATACTTTATTTATATGACTGTTTGGCAAGCTCCTGTCGCCAGAGACCATATCTTTAATTTTGATTAGTACAACAAATGTAGATGTGTAGTCATTGTGTTTATTGACTGAGTAATGACTGTGTAGCCTAATCTAAAAATTTGTGCTTTATCCTGCAGGCTACAGGGAACTAATTGAGATTATCTTTATTCATGTTGTTTTGATCAGTAGAGTGGAAATAGCATCTTTGAAAGATGAATTTAGTCAGTCATGAAAATACCCTAGAAATTCCAAAAAAAAACCCAAACCATTTCGCTGTATTACAGTTTGCTCTTTTCTGCTTATAAAGATAATTCCTGTTTATTATCAAAATTCAAATATCAGAAGTAATGTAGACAATGAATATTTCTAGCAACCCACTAAAATATATGGTGCATAGTCCTAATTTTTTTCATTTATATTCAAATGGTTTGTTATTAATGTAGTTTTAAACCAAAATGAGCTCATGTTGAGCATATTGTCTGGTTTTTTCTTTTTTTTCAGTTACTATATCTTGAACATCTTTTCTTGTTAGTAAATGTGAATCTGCTTTATTCAACTTGACCAGCTGCGTAGTGCACAGAGTGGAGCAAAAGTAGGTTTACAATTGTGAGTACACAAAACAGAGTTTATTCTTATATTATTATTTATTAATTATTGCATTATTTTCCATGCGAACAGCTATAAACCTGCTTTTGCCCCACCTTGTATGTGTACCAGGTATTAGTTCACTATTCTCTGGCTGATAGATTAACCTTTAGATTTTTTTATTTTTTATTTTTTTAATAAACAGCAGAAATTTATTGCTCACAGTTCTGGAGGCTGGAAATCTGAGATCAGGGTGCCAGCACAGTCAGGTTAGAACCCTCTTCCGTGTAGCAGGCTTATTATTATATCCTTACAGGGTGGAAGGTAGATTTCCTTTTTAGCTATTAAAAATATAGCTACAAAGAGCATTCTTATATATAACATTTTGTAGGTCTAGGCTTTTTTTTTTTTTAATCCTAACCCAAGGATATGTTTAGAGAAAGGAAGGCGGGGGGCAGAGGGCGGGGGGAGGGGGAAGAGAGACATAGATCGTTTGCCTCCCATACTGACCGGACCCGGGATCAATCCTGCAACCTAGGTATAGTGCCCTGACCAGGAATCAAACCTACAACCTTTTTTTATTCTACAGACAATCCACCAACCAACTGAGCCACCCAGCCAAGTGCTATGAGCATATTTTTAAAGGATAAATTCCTAGAAGTAGGAATGCCTGGCTGAAAGGGTATAAACATTTTAAGTTGTAATAGTTTTTGCCAAATTGCCACTTTTTTGGTTACCTTCCTTCTGAGAGAATATAACCAAGTTCACTTTGTTGTTGTTGTTAATCCTCACTGGAGTATATTTTTCCATTGATTTTTAGACATAGTGTAAGGGAGGAGGAAAGACATAGAGAGAGTAACATCAATGTGAGAGAGACACATGGGTTGTTAGCCTCCCACATAAGCCCAACCAGGGCCAGGTATTGAGGCTGCAACCGAGGTATGTGCCCTTGACCAGTATCGTACCTGGTCCACAGACTGACACTCCAACCACTGAGCCAAATAGGGTAGGGCAGCAAGTTCACTAATTTATATCTTTGTTTATCCTGGATAGTTGTATTTTAAACATTTTATAGAAGTATATAGAAAAGTACACATGTGATATATGTAAATCTTAACATACCCAGATAACCAACACCCAGATCAAGGAACAGAAGAACATTGCTAGCACCTCTGCAGTCTCCTTTGTACTCCATTCAGTCGCTGCCCATCTCCATGAGTAATCACTGTCCTGACTTCTAATAGCATAGATTAGTTTTGATTTTTATTTCATAAAAATGGAATAATTTGGTATGTGCTACTATTATTTTAATTTTGTGAATCTGTTAGATAAAAATAACCTCATTGCTATTTTATCATCATAATAAATGAGATTACTATCTTTCTGTATATCTCAAAGCTTTAAAACAACAACAGCAATGCTGAAATGTTAGCATGTTAGAACACAAAATAAATGAAGTCTTAGGGTTATGATTATCTCCCTCCAATATTCCTAAAGCTAAGTATCTCCACCACCATCAAATAGCTTTCACAATAATGATTGAGGAGCTTCCAGACATGGAAATTCACATTTTGACATAAGTCTCTATACATCCACCAAAGATGGGACTGAGGCTGGAGTTAAAGTCCTGCATTGCACTAGGACAAACTGCTGCAAATGAGGATGGAAATCCCAGATGGAGTTCCTAGATCTAGAGCCAGTCTGTGCTTGAAGTCTAGGATTAAGAAAAAGCAGAAAATGCCTACAATAGATTTCCCAGTCATAATATAAACCACCTAGAAAAAATTTAAAGATGTAGAAGACCCAAGTAGAGGAAATTACAATCATGCTTATTAGGAAAACTATTTTTTGGCTTAAGAAATTTTTTAAGTTGGATAATGAGGTTCATGTTTTCAGAAGATAATTATGTAGTTTTTTTAATGTTAAAAAACATTATAGCCCTGACTGGTTTGGCTCAGTGGATAGAGCGTCAACCTGTGGACTGAAGGGTCCCAGGTTCGATTCCGGTCAAGGGCATGTACTTGGTTGTGGGCACATTCCCAGTGGCGGGTGTGCAGGAGGCAGCTGATTGATGTTTCTCTCTCATCAATGTTTCTAACTCTCTATTCCCCTCCCTTTCTCTCTGTAAAAATCAATAAAATATATTTAAAAAAATTATAGTCGGAAAGGTATCAGTTATTTAATAAAGAGTAAGTTATGGTCTTTCCATTTTGGAAAATCAATATAATTAATATGAAAGTGAATACAGTTTAAGGTAGGAATAATTCCTCAATCTGAGCAGTTAGAATGAATAAAATAAAAAAGTAAAGCTAGCTTTGGTAATACTGTTCCTGTAGGATGAAAAATGCAAGTCAGCATAGTAAAGACGTAGAAATCCTGCAGTGCGGAAACCGATTTAATTTTGTGTCACCTAGTTTCCCACAATTTTTGTGATCATAGGAAATCTATTAATATCTTCTGGGACACTAGAAGTCTACAGAATATAATTTGGAAAACACTGTGTATTTACTAGTAAACACTATTTACTCGGATACATAGGGTGCAAAAGTTTGAGTGCTATGCCAAAATATTCTTTATAGAATCTTAGTAAGAACTGTCATTAAAGAATGAGTAATTTATAATAAAATAATAACTGGCTCTATAAAGTACCTGAATTATAGTGGTTTTTAAAACTATTCTTTATCAGGTGTTTTCCAAATATTTTTATCCAATTTGTGGCTTATCTTTTCATTCCCTAAACAGTATTTTTTGAAGAGAATCAGTGATAAAGTCCAATTTATTATGTTTTTCTTTTATGAATTGTGCTCTTAATATATACCTGAGAAATCTTGCCTAATTAAAGTTCACAAAGATTTTTCTCCTGTGCTTTCTTCTAGAAAATATAGTTTTAAGTTTCCAAATTCTTTTTTTAATGAAAGTTTACATACAGTTTGGTACTTTTGCTTTAATAGGCTCACAATTTACATATAGTTTTACAGCTTGCTTTCACACACACACTATTTACTAAGTAATAGTATTTTCATATTAGTACAGTTAATTCTTTTAAGTAGCTACAAATATATACCAAAGTATTTAGCACAATTCATTTAGTTTTCTCTTTTTGGACAGTTATTTCCAGTTTTTTCCTATTGTAAATAATGCTCAATATTTATTTTAAAATTCAGTTTGAATTTTAGTTCTTGTAAATTTATTAAAAGTTTTTATAATAGAAAATGTTTCATCTTTGTAGATTACCAGGTACACTCAAAACTTTAAAAATTTTATATACAGTTCTGACTTTCCTTGTTTAAATATATGGTGAAATTATGATATAAACAATTATTGTTTAAAATTTTTTTAAGTAACTTCCCATTTTCTACCATAACCCTCATGGATTATGCTCCCTTCTTGGCTCAAACAGTCATAATAGGCATGTTTAGAAAACTTCGGTTCTACTAATGATTTCTTTTAATTTCTCAGTTTATGTGACTTATTTTATTTTATGCCTCTTCCACCACTTTTATTTTCCAAGTCTCTGTTTGATCTCTGTAATGAGATTAAATTATTACCTAGTTATTTAATGATATAATATTACCTAAATAGTAACTTACATTTATAAAAGACCATTTCCATTACATCCCATTTGTCAATTTATTTTTATTTATTTTTTTCAGAATTAGGTGGTATAAATTTGGGGAAAACTTCATGGTTTTTTGTACTTTCTCTTCTGTTAATGCTGTTTCATTTTTTCTACGACAGATTCAAAAGCTTTGTGACCGAGTAGCTTCATCTACTTTACTAGATGATCGAAGAAATGCCGTGCGTGCTCTCAAATCATTATCTAAGGTCTGTAACGCTTTGTTAGTTATCAAGTTTATTAAAGTGGATATTAGTTTCTTTAACATTTTTATTTTGTGCAGAAATATCGCTTGGAAGTGGGTATTCAAGCAATGGAACATCTTATCCATGTTTTACAAACAGATCGGTAAGCCTCTTTAAGTCTTCTTGAAATTTTAATTAATTTGTTTTACAATCTCTGTTGAAGGAATGAAGGATAAACCTATTAAAACTATTACAATTCTTTTGTGTTTTTTTATTATAATTTTTTAAAATTTACCTTTGTTGTTGAAAGTAATACAGGTGTCCCCTTTTTCTTTACCTATTGGCCCCTCTTATCACCCCACTCTCCTCCCCCCTACACCCCCCCAGGTCTTCACTACACTACTGTCTGTGTCCATGGGTTATGCATATCCTATCTAATAAAAGACAAAATGGGTAATTGACCATACCTTCGCTATGTTTCCCATTGACTAATCAGCAAGATGCAAATTAACCACCTACAAAGATGGCAGCCGGCAGCCACGCAGGTGAAGCGAGCAGGAGGCTTGCTTGCTCCAGTGATGGAGGAAGCCAAGGTTCCCCGCCTGCCGCGGCCCGGCTCTGAGCTCCGAAAGCAACTAAGTTTCAATTATAGAAGCTAAACAAACCCCAGATCCTGCTTTCAGCAGGCCGTGGCCTCAGAGCTGGAGCGAGCAATAGCCAGCTCTCAGCTCCAGTGACGGCAACAAAGTTTCAATTATAGAAGGTAAATAAATCCCAGAATTAAAAAAGAAAAGAAAAAAAGGAGAGGCTGGGAGCTTCAGTTGCCGGCCAGCCTGAAAACGGCCCTCAGCCCCTCACCCAGACTGGCCAGGAACCCCAGTGGGGACCCCCACCCTGAAGGGGGTGTGACCAGCTGCAAACAGCCATCATCCCCTCATCCAGGCTGGCCAGGCATCCAAGCAGGACCCCCACCCTGATCCAGGACACCCTTCAGGGCAAACCAGCTGGCCCCCACCCATGCACCAGGCCTCTATCCTATACAGTAAAAGGGTAATATGCAAACTGACCCTAACAGCAGAAAGACTGGGAATGACTGGTCACTATGACACACACTGACCACCAGGGGGCAGATGCTCAATGCAGGAGCTGCCCCCTGGTGGTCAGTGTGCTCCCACATGGGGGAGCTCTGCTCAGCCACAAGCCAGGCTGATGGCTGCCAGTACAGCAGTGGTGGTAGGAGCCTCTCCCGCCTCCAACTGCAGCTTAGGTCTGCTCCCCACTGGCAAGTGGACATCCCCCAAGATGCCACCGGGCTGCTAGATGGATGTCTGATTGCCAGCTTAGGCCCAATCCCCCGGGGAGCAGGCCTAAGCCAGCATGTGATCATCCCCTGAGGGATCCCAGACTGCGAGAGGGCACAGGCCGGGCTGAGGGACCCCCTCCCCCCGAGTGCACAAATTTTTGTGCACCAGGCCTCTAGTATCCATATAAGTTCTTTGGTTAATCTCTCCCCACCCATTCCCCCACCCTTACCTTCCCTCTGAGATCAGCAGTCTGTTCCATGCTTCTATGTTTTTGGATCTATTTTATTCATCAGTTTATATTGTTCATTAGATTCCACATATGAGTGAGATCATGCGATATTTGTCTTTTTCTGACTGGCTTATTTTGCTTAGCATAATACTCTCCAGGTCCCTCCATGCTGTCTCAAAGGGTAAGAGGTCCTTCATTTTTACTTCTGCATAGTAATCCATGGTGTAAATGTACCACAGCTTTTTTATCCACTCATCTGATGAGTACTTGGGTTGTTTACAGATCTTAGCATAATATTATAAATTGTACTGCTATGAACATAGGGGTATATATATTCTTGCTGATTAATGTTTTGGGTTTTTTAGGATGTTCCTAGAAGTGGAATCACTGGGTCAAATGGCAGTTCCATTTTTAATTTTTTTGATGAAACTCTATACCAGCCATGGGCAAACTACGGCCCGTTTGAAATGAATAAAACTATTGAAAAAAAAGACTGTACCCTTTTATGTAATGATGTTTACTTTGAATTTATATTAATTCATACAAACACTCCATCCATGCTTTTGTTCCGGCCCTCCAGTCCAGTTTAAGTACCCATTGTGGCCCTCGAGTCAAAAAGTTTGCCCACCCCTGCTCTATACTGTTTTCCATAGTGGATCCACCAGTCTGCATTCCCACCAGTAGTATACCAGGGTTTCCTTTTCTCCACATCCTTGCCAGCACTTGTCATTTGTTGATTTGTAGATGGTAGCTTTCTGATAGGTGTGAGGTAGTACTTCATTATGTTTTATGTTGCATCTCTCTGATGATTAGTGACTGAGCATTTTTTCATGTCTATTGGACATCGTTATGTCCACTGTGGAGAAGTGTCTGTTTAGGTCCTTTGCCCATTTTAAAATTGGATTATCTTCCTTTTCTTAAGTTGTATGAGTTCCTTATATATTTTGGAAATTAACCCCTTATCAGATGTATCATTGGCAAATATGTTCTATCATATAGTGGGCTCCCTTTTCATTTTGTTGATGGTTTCTTTTGCTGTGCAAAAGCTTTTCAGTTTGATGTCATCCTATTTGTTTATTTTCTCCTTTGTTTCCCTTGCTCTAGGACAGCGGTTCTCAACCTGTGGGTCACGACCCCTTTGGGGGTCGAACGACCCTTTCACAGGGGTTGCCTAAGAACATCAGAAAACACATATATAATTACATATTGTTTTTGTGATGAATCACTATGCTTTAATTATGTTCAATTTGTAACAATGAAATTGGGGGTCACCACAACATGAGGAACTGTATTAAAGGGTCACGGCATTAGGAAGGTTGAGAACCACTGCCCTAGGAGATGTATCAGCAAACATTGCTACAAGAGATGTTTGAGATTTTGCTGCCTATTGTTTCCTCTAGGATTTTTATGGTTTCACGATTTACACTTAAGTCTTTTATCCATTTTGAGTTCATTCTTGTGTATGGTGTAAGTTGGTGGTCTAGTTTCATTTTTATTTTTATTTTTGCATGTATCTGTTCAATTTTCCCAACACTATTTATTGAAGAGACTCTCTTGACTCCATTATATGCCCTTGCCTTTTTTGTCAAATATTAATTGAGCATAATGGCTTGGGTCACTTTTTGGATTCTCTGTTCTGTTCCATTGATTTATATGCCTGTTCTTGTGCCAGTGCCAGGCTGTTTTGATTACAGTGGCTTTGTAGTATAACTTGGTATCTGGTTTCATAATCCCTCCAACTTTGTTCTTTCTCAAGATTGCTACAGCTATTTGGGGGGTTTTTTTGGTTCCATATAAATTTTTGGAGTATTTATTCTAGATCTGTGAGATATGTTGTTGGCATTTTAATAGGGATTGCATTGAATCTGTAGGTTGCTTTGGGTAGGGTGGACATTTTAATTATGTTAATACTTCCAATCCATTAATATGATATTCTTCCACTTGTTTATATCTTCCTCTCTTTTTTTCAGCATCCTGTAATTTTTTGAATATAGGTCTTTTACCTCCTTAGTTAAGTTTATTCCCAAGTTTCTCAAATTTTTTGTAGCAGCAGTAAATGGGATTTTTTTTTTAGTTTCTCTTTCTGAGAGTTCATTATTAGTATATAAAAATGCCATTGATTTCTGGTTGTTAATTTTGTATCCTGCTACATTGCTGAATTCACTTATTAAATCTAGTTTTTTGGTGGAGTCTTTAGGGTTTTCTATGTACAATGTCATGTCATCTGCAAATAATGAGTTTTACTTCCACCTCTCCAATTTGGACACCTTTTATTTCTTCTTCTTGTCTGATTGCTATGGCTAGCACTTCCAACTTTATGTTGAGTAAGAGTGGTAAAAGCAGATCCCTATCTTGTTCCTATTCTTAGGTGAAATGGTTTTAGTTTTTGCCCATTGAGTATGGTGTTTATTGTAGATTTGTCATATATGACCTTTATTATGTTAAGATATGATCTCTTTATTTCCACTTTGCTGACAGTTTTTATCATAAATGGGTGCTGGATTTCATTGAATACTTTTTTGGCATCTATTGATATGATCATGTGATTTTTGTTTTTCAATTTATTTATGTGATGTATCACGTTTATTGATTTACAGATATTGTACCAGCCTTGCATCCCTGGAATAAATCCCACCTGGTCATGGTATATGATCTTTTTAATATATTGCTGGATCCGATTTGTTAATATTTTTTGAGGATTTCAGCATCTATGTTCATCAGGGATATTGGCCTGAAATTCTCTTTCTTTGTAGTCTTTTTATCTGGTTTTGGAATTAGTATAATATTGACCTCATAAAAAGACCTTGGAAGTGTTCCTTCCTCTTGGAATATTTTGGAGTAGTTTGTTTGTTCTTCTTTGAATGTTTGGTAAAACTCCCCGGTGAAGCTATCTGGACCAGGGCTTTGTTTTGCTGGGAGTTTTTTGATTGCTGCTTCAGTTGCTTCAGTTGTTACCAGCCTATTTAGGTTTTCTGATTCTTCCTGATTCGATTTTGGAAGATTGTATTTTTCTAGAAATGTGTCCATTTCATCCACGTTGTCCAGCTTGTTGGCATATAGTTGTTCATAGTATTTTCTTACAATCCTTTCTATTTCTGTGGTGTCAGTGGTTACTTTACCTCTTTTGTTTCTGATTTTATTTATTTGGTCCTCTCTCTTTGTTTCTGATGATTCTGGCTAAAGGTTCATCAATCTTGTTTATCTTTTCAAAGAATCTGCTCTTGGTTTCATTGATCTTTTGTTTTTGTTTTTGTTTTTTTATCTTGTGTCATTTATTTTCTCTCTGATCTTTATTGTTTCCTTCCTTCTACTTACTGTGGGCTTTCCTTGTTCTCATTCTAATTCTTTAAGTTGTAGGGTTAGATAGTTTATATAAAAGTATTCTTGTTTTTTGACGTAGGCCTATAGTACTGTGGACTTCCTTCTCGGTACTGCTTTCTTTATGTCCCATAGATTTTTGGATTGTTATGTGTTCATTTTTATTTGTTTCAAGGAAGTTTCTGATTTCTTTCTTGATCTCATTGGTAATCCATTCATTGTTTAATAACATACCAGTACTAGCCTCCATGTGTTTGAATGTTTTGAGTGTTTTTAGTGTAGTTGATTTCTGATTTCATGCCTTTGTGATCTGAGAACATGCTTGATTTTATTTCAATCTTCTTGAACTTGTAGAGATTTGTTTTGTGTCCTAACATGTGGTCTGTCTTTGAGAATGACCCATGTACACTTGAGAAGAATGTGTATTTTGCAACTTTGGGGTGAAATATTCTGTATCTGTCAGTTAAATCCATCTGATCCAGTGTGTCATTTACAGTCACTGTCGATTTTTGTCTAGAAGATCTGGGGTGTTAAAGTCTTATACTGTGACTATATTGCTATCGATCTCTCCCTTAAAGTCCTTAAAGAAGTTTTTTTTATATATTTAGGTGCTCCTATATTGGATTGCATATATGTTTCTCATGGTTATATACTCTTGTTGCATTGATCCTTTAGTATTATTAGTGCCCTTTATTGTCTCTTATTATGGCCTTCATTTTGAAGTCTGTTTTTTTAGGTATTAGCATTGCTACCCCAGCTTTTTTTTTTCGTTAACATTTACATGAAAATTGTTTTCCCATCCATTCACTCTCATCCTGTGTGAGTCTTTAGTTCTGAGGTGGATCTCTTAGAGTCAGCATATATATGGGTCATGTTTCATTACCCACTAGCTACCCTAAGTCTTTTGATTGGAGCATTTAAACCATTTACATTTAAGGTTATTATTGATAGGTACTTATTTATTGCCATTTTAATTCTTTATGCCTCTGTTTTTCTATTCCTTATTATTATTATTACAGTAGTACCTTTAACATTTCTTGCAGTGTTGACTTAGTGTTGGTAAACTCCTTTAGTCTTTTTGTGTCTAGGCAGCTATTTATTTTACCATCTATTTTGAATGAGATAGCCTTGCTGGATAGAATAGTCTTGGCTTCAGATTCTTGTTTTTTTATTATTTTTAAATAATTTTTATTTCTTGAAGTATTACAAAGAGTATTACATATGTCTCCTTTTTTCCCCCCCTTGACATTCCCCCGGCCTCCCCTAACCCCTAGTGTCTTGTGTCCATTGGTTATTCTTTTTTTTTTTTCTTTTTTTTAAATATATTTTATTGATTTTTTACAGAGAGGAAGGGAGAGAGATAGAGAGTTAGAAACATCGATGAGAGAGAAACATCGATCAGCTGCCTCCTGCACATCCCCTACTGGGGATGTGCCCGCAGCCCAGGTACATGCCCTTGACCGGAATCGAACCTGGGACCTTTCAGTCCGCAAGCCGACGCTCTATCCACTGAGCCAAACCGGTTTCGGCCATTGGTTATTCTTATATGCATGCATATAAGTCCTTCAGTTGATCTCTTAAAACTCCCCCCCCCCCCCCCCAAACCCTCCCCAGGCTTTCCACTGTAGTTTGACAGTCTGTTCAATGCTGTTCTGCCTCTGCATCTACCCCTGTTCATCAGTCTATACTGGTCCCCATTATCCATTTCAACCTCACTGGGGCCATTTTGGCCTCACAAGGGCCGTCTTGACTTCACCAGGGCCGTTTCAACCTTATCGGGGCCATCCGGACCTCACCGGGGCCGTCCCGACTTCACCGGGGCTATCCCTACCTCACAGGGGCCATTTCAACCTCACTGGGGCTGTCCCGACCTCGCCGGGGCCGTCCCGACCTCGCCGGGTCCATTTCAACCTCACCGGGGCTGTCCCGACCTCACCGAGGCTGTTTAAGCCTCACTGGGGCCCTTTCAACCTCACCAGGGCCATTTCAACCTCACTGGGACCGTCCTGACCTCACCGGGGCCATTTCGGCCTCACCAGGGCCATCTCGACCTCACCGGGGCTGTCCTTACCTCACTGTGGTCGTTTGACCTCACCAGGGCTATCCCTACCTCATTGGGCCGTTTCAACCTCACTGGGGCCATCTTGGCCTCACCGGGGCCGTCCCGACCTCACTGGGGCCGTCCCGGCCTCACTGGGATCATCCCGATCTCACTGGGGCCATATCAGCCTCACCGGGGCCATCCTGACCTCACCGGTGCAACACGAAGTTTGGCACTCTGTCCCCTGCCGGGCAGCTGCCCACCAGACAAAATCTCCAGGCATTCCTGGTGGCTGAACATCCGGCACGCCTCCTCGGGCTTCGCCCTCCACCAAGTGCACAGACTGCCATCTGCCGTCCCCCAGTGTCCCACGCGAGACTGGAACCAATGGACGTGCTTGTGCGCCTGCTGGTACAGCAGTTCCACATCGCCGGCCCAGGCCTCCCCAAACCCGACTCCGCCCCCTGAGCGCGTCCCTCCCTGATGTAAGGAGCTGAAATCTGCAGCCTGCTGGGTTGGGCTCTGTACTTGGTGCCTCTGCACATCCTACTCAGTCTCAATGCTCTTCTTTCTAAGTGAGGGGTTGAAATCTGCAGTTTGTTGGTTTGGGCTCTGTACTTGGTGTCTCTGCACATCCTACTCAGTCTCAATGCTCTTCTTTCTTTCCTTCCAGTTGTAGAGCTTCCACTGGGCCAGCTTTCCCATGGTTCCGTATGATAGCTGTTTGTCCTATAGTGGGTAGTTTTGATGTTGTTGTGGGAGGCAGCACGCACAGGTCTGTACCTTACGCTGTCATCTTGGTTCTCCTGGGTCTGCTTCTTGAGTGTGTCTCCCATGGGTGCGAGGAGTTGAAGTCTGCAATTTGTTGGGTTAGGCTGCAAAACTGCAGGTGGGTCTTTTTGTGCCCCTGGCACAGCTTGGATAGGGATGTAAATTGAGTAGGGCGGGGTCTCAGGGAGTCACCGGGGCGGAGCAAATAGCAGTGGCATCTCTGCGGCTCCTCGCCTCTCTGGGACTCTGGGACTTCGCGTCCCCCAGTGCCGGCGAGCAGCTGCTCGACAGAGCCTCCCTCACTTTCCGACCGCTGCAAGGCCGTGCCGCCTCTCCCCATGAGGTCTGGGGCCTCAGAGACCCGCCCCAAGCAAGCCCAGAGATTTGAGAATTCGTAACCCCTTCCAATTGAAAAAAAAAAAAAACGCGCATCCAGTTGCAGCCTGCCTGGCGCGTGACTCTGTACCTCTGTTCTTGGTGCCTCTGTAGCTCCTACTCAGTCTCACTGCGCTTCTTTCTTTCCTTCCAGTTGTAGAACTTCCACTGGGCCAACTTCCCCATGGTTCTGAATGGTGGTTGTTTGTCTTATAGTTGGTAGTTTCAATGATGTTGTGGGAGGCAGCACGCACAGGTCTACACCCTACGCCGCCATCTTGGTTCTCCCAGATTCTTGTTTTTCATTACCTTGAATACTTCATGCCATTCACTTCTGATCTGTAGTTTCTGATGAGAAATCAGCTGACAGCCTTATGGGAGCTCCTTTGTAGGTAACAAATTGCTTTCCTCTTGCTGCTTTTAATATCATCGTCATATATAATAAAAGGGTAATATGCAAATTGACTGAACAGTGGAACAACCAGAATGCCCAAGGCCCCTAGCTCCAGCTGGCCCCACCCCTGAGTGGGTTCCCCCACTCTGATCGGGGGAGGGGCTGGCTTGCAAACCACCTGCAGCCCCTCACCCTGGCCAGCTCCACCCCTAGCAGGTACCCAGACCCGGATAGGGGGCAGGGCCAACCGGCAAACCATCCGCAGCCCCTCGCCCCTGATGACCTGCCTTATGGCCCCCATCGGGCGGGCCAAGCTGGATCCCACCAGGGCATGAATTCATGCACCAGGCCTCTAGTTTTATATAATCTTGTTAAATAACTGTCTAAAAATGGTAATAACAGGTCATACTCTAACTAGCAGTATATAAATGTAATAATTTCTTTTTTCCAGTTCGGATTCTGAAATAATAGGTTATGCTTTGGATACATTATTTAATATAATATCTAATGATGAAGAAGATGAAGTAGGTAAGTTTCTTTTACTATGTATTTTGTACATAAAGTTAACTGGATTATACCAATTTTATGTGTGTTTTTCTTTGCTTTTTCTTTTTTATGAATAAAGGAAAGACATGCTTAGTTCCAGAAAAGTATCTGTAAAATGATTGCCTTATATGTAATTTGGAGATGAAATATGATTCTTTTAAAAAATATTTATCCCTCTGTTTGTATTTGGTTTTAGTTAAGCAATATGAATATTAGTAATCTCTGGATTAAATAATCATTTTGGCTATTGGTTAAAAATCAAGCTATTTTATTTATGTTATTTGGTGAGCAGTATGAGGTTTTTTCCTAATAATTACTTAAACTTTTAACATAGGACTCATGATAATTTAAAAAGAGCAACAACTTGTTAAATTAAGAAAGTCTTTTTTAAGAGCAGCAGCCTGCGGACTGAAGGGTCCCGGATTTGATTCCAATCAAGAGCACATGCCTTGGTTGCAGGCTCCTCCCTGGCCTGGGCCAGGTCAGGGCTCGTGCAGGAGGCAATCAATCAATGTGTTTCTTTCACATTGATGTTTCTCTCTGTCTTTACCTCTCTCTTCTTACTCTCTTTAAAAATCAATGGAAAAAATATCCTCGGGTAAGGATTAAAAAAAAAGAAGAAGAAGAAAGTCTTTTTTACATTGAATCTGTTTGGTGTGACATGATAGAATAAGTTTGAAATCCACACATTTTTTTCATACATCCTTTCCTTTTTTGTTTCAAATTACTTGCTTACTTAAGGTAGTCTGTCATTAATTTATTTTATTGTCAGTATGTGAAACACTTTACTAGAAGTCTGAATACATTGTTTGCATATTATAAAAACATGCATTGGTTAACATTTCACAGTGCTATTGAAGAGTGCATTGTTATCAGATTGGCTGTTGCAATAGGACATAATGGGTTTTTCATTATTCTAGACAGTCAGAAAGGTAGACATATGCATGCATGCATTTTATAAGTCTAATTTACATTGAAATAATAGGATCTTTAAAAAATCTTGAGTAAATAAGTCATAAAGAAATATAGATGATATTGAGTTTACAATGTTTTTTTAAAAATAAAAGTAGAGCAGAAATATATGTAGATATTAACACCACAGAATATCAGTAATGGGGACATTTTAAACTGGGTTTATTGAATAGGCAAAATTTCTTAGACTTAAGTATTCTTTTTCTTACATATTTATTTCTCTGTAATATCTAGCTTATAACTAACGTTATTAATTTTTCAGGGGTGAAAAATCTTTAGTAAATATAATTTGGGTACCCATGGTAAAAGAAGCTGTCAATCACATGACAGTATTAAAATACAGTATACACAAGAACATATTTTGAAGGAGATACCTATTTTGCCTAGTTATTTCTCTAAGAAAATTAGGTACAACACACTTGTTATAATATGTTAAAAGGCTCTTTTTTTCCTGTTTCAAATTATAACTCTCTTTTGTAGTTTATAATGGATGATTTTTCTGTTTTACAAAATATATAGCAGCAATAAATTTTAGTTAGGTGGTTTTCCTTTATTATAAATTTATAATATAATCATGTTTAGAGTCCTAATTTTATTGTTTCACTTCATATATTTGGGCTCTTTATTTTTAATTCAACATCAAAAAATTATCCTTTGGCTAAAAAAAGATAAACTATTCTGTACTAGAATCACTTTTCCTAAGAAAGATTAAAATAGGAACTTAATCTTTCACCAAAAGGTCATTCTTACTGGCCCTGGCCAGGTTGCTCAGTTGGTTAGACCTTAATCCCCATATACCAAAGTTGTGGGGATTGATCTCCAGTTAGGGCACATGAAAGAATCAACCAGTGAATGCATGGATGGGTGGAAAGATGGATTGTCTCCCTCCTTCCCTCCCTCCCTCCCTTTCTTCCCACTTCCCTCCATCCCTACCTTCCTCCCTCTTAAAATAAAAAAATGAATACATGAAGTTGACATAATGAACTTTATTTTAGAGTTCTTTATCTTGGGGATATTTTATAACCCTTTAATTTATTGAAAAGTCTGTCTCATCATCCTGAATATATAGCATATGCTATATCTCTTTTGCTATTTGAGTAAAATGAATATGAGTCTCTTCTGTTTAGAAATTATATTGCTTACTTGACATTTTAAAACTCTTATTTATTGTATTGTGAATTCTACATAAGAAACTATTTTATCACCCACTTTTTGTGTATGTTTATTTATTTATTTATTTTTGTCTACCTTTTCAGATGATCTTGAAGGTAAAAGATTGTATTTACATATGCATGATGCTTTTAGGCATAATTTCTGGTAATATAAAAGGACACTGTCAAGTGATGTTTAATTCTGGCTGGTAAATTGAGATTTGTTTCACTATATAAGAATTCCTTAATTAAACAGCAATATATGATCACCTTATATTGCTGTTTTTTATTTTTATGACTGCTAAATCTATCTATTGGCTAGAACACAGAAAATAATCTAGTGCATTTTTTAACAAAATTAAAGCTATTTCTCTGGTAGTACAATCTATTTGAATTACTTTTTGTGTACTTCCTGGAAAAATTTCAGGCAATTTATTTTTTTAAAAAAATAATGTTTGAATATGTATACGTACAAATGTATACACATAAATTTTATCCTTATTCAAAAAGAACTGGAAAGTATTTCAGTTCAGAAAATACTTAAATGTTGATATTGTCCCTTTAAAGTAATGCATGTATAATAATGTCTGGTTACTGACATTTTTTATATTAATTTATAGAACTCACCAATATTGTCTGTCTTTATTTCTGGTGATCTGTTTCAAGTTCCATTTACTTTTAACATTGATATTTCTTTAATTCATAATTAAAGGTAGTAAGTTTTATTTTGTATTGTTTTACCATTTTTTCCTAGACCCTATACATTTTAAAATAAGGAAGGGAATATCCTTATCTAAAGGAGATTTAAAATGGTACAAAAGAAAGTTGCCCATACCGAACAAAAAGATAACAAAAAACTAACTTATTAAGATATATAGCTTTACTTTTGTGTCATCTGAATCCCTTGTTTGAAAGCAGAAAATACAGGAGCATTATGCCTTAACTCTTGTGACAATAGCTCATCCGTGTTGGGTAGCACAGATCAGTAGTCGTTGTTTCTATTATTGTTTCAGCATACTTGTTTAGAACATTAACATTTACAGTGCTTTTATGTCCATTATCTTATTTGATTCTCATAGCAGCCTTGAGGTAGGTACTATTTTTCTGTTTTCTAAAAATGGAAGCCCAGAGACCATTTAACTTACAAGGTGTCATCTAGTAAGTAGGATAACAGTGGATCACTATATTTTTGGATACATTCTCCCCCCCCCCCCCTAAGATTTCTGTTTTAACAAATTCTGGCCATTTTACTAACTAGATTCTTTATTAAACCTTGTAATTTTCATAACTAGTTTATAGAGGATGCATACAAACGTTAAAAAAATATAGGTGTCCTTGTTTAACTAATTCACTATGGTGTAAAAGAAGATATACTTCATAGTCCCTCACTCTGACTTAGGACTACTTTTGTTAAAATATCTTTTTTTATAAAATAGTTTTGTCCTGCTGATATGGAGTGGAATTTCAAAGAGAAGGTCCACAAATGTTTTTGAGCATTACCTCTGGAAAAAAGATAACTGTAAATAGATTTGAAGAATAAATGTATTTAGTTAAAAACCAATTATATAAATAGGCCTAAAATGTTTTCAAGGGTTTATAAGGACTTTTTAAAAAGCAGTCTTTAATTCTGTATACCTGTCTTCGGTTTCTTTTTCACTATAGTAACAAAGGGCAATTTAGTTCTTATTTTATTTTTTCATTTATCTTATAATAAAGAGTACTTACTTTTACAGGTTATAATAAGTATAGCATATAAAATACAAGATATAAAAATAGACTTAGCTCTAGGAGTTTTAAAACTAGAGTATATTTAATGAGAGAGGATGCTTATCTCATATCAGAGGTTACATGTAAAACAGATATACTTTTTCATAGGTCTAATTTTGATTTACAACTTTTAGGTATAATTAACGTAGTCATTTTAGCTTAAGTTACTGCTACACCAAAATAGTTTGTATGTTACTTTAATTGCTTAGCTAGTTTAAATTCTAGAATATATATATATTCTTATTGATTTCAGAGAGGAAGGGAGAGGGAGAGATAGAAACATCAGTGATGAAAATCATTGATCATTGATCAGCTGCCTCCTGCATGCCCCCTACTGAGAATTGAGCCCACAACCTGGGCATGTGCCCTGACCAGGAATTGAACCGTGACCTCCTGGTTCATAGATCGATGCTTAACCACTGAGCTACACCAGCTGGGCCAGAAGTGCTGTCTTATACTTAAAGGAAGTAAAGTTCATTTCACTAACAGCTTTTTCAAATTGACAGTATTAAGCCAGAAGGAACCATAGATCCTTGGAACAGGATCATATTTTACTAGTTCATTTCCAAACTGCTCTTAATTGTATATTGTTAAGCTACAGTATTTTATACATTGAAGCTACAAAATAAATCAAATATGTTAACTCCACTTCTTGCTAAGTCATTAGCTTGTATTCATTGCAAACACGAATTAAACTTTTTCCTTGGTTAAACCTACATTCCTTAAAGTGTAGATATGTCTCAGAATACTTTGTATTAAAAGGGGTCCATAGTTAAATATGTTAAATAAACAAAACATACTATATTACCCTCTGAAGCATCACAAAATTTACATAAATAATAGTAAGTGCGTGCCCTGACTAGTTTGGCTCAGTGGATAGAGCGTCGGCCTGCAGGCTGAGGGGTCCCAGGTTCGATTCCGGTCAGGGGCGTGTGCCTTGGTTGCCGTTAATCCCCAGTGCGGGGTGTGCAGGGGGCAGCTGATTGATGTTTCTCTTTCATCAATGTTTCTAACTCTGTTCCTCTCCCTTCCTCTCTGTAAAAAATCAATAAAATATATTTTTAAAAAATAATAGTAGGTGCAAATATAGTGATTTGTTAATCCATTCCCCGTTTGGTGAGCATTTGGATTGTTTTCAGTTTTGGGCAGTTCCAAATAAAGCTTCTATAAGTATCATGTACAAGTCTTTACATGGACATATATTTTCATTTCTTTTGAATAAATACCTAGCAATAGAATACCTAAGAGATAATAGTAAGTGTATGTTTAACTGTATAAGAAAAGGTCAAACCATTTTTCAACATAGTTGTACCCTTTTACATTCTCACTGGTAATCTATGAATTCCAGTTCTTCCACATTCTCTCCAATACTTGGTAATGGTCAGTCTTTTTAAATTTTAGCTGTTCTAATAGGTAATAATAATATTTCATGGTTGTTTTAATTTGTATTTTCATAAAGAATAATGCTATTAAGCAACTTTTCGTGTGCTTATTTGCCATCTACAGTGGGGCCTTGACTTACGAGTTTAATTCGTTCAGTGATGGAGCTCGTAACTCAAATTACTCGTATGTCAAATCAAAAAGTGAACGAGTGAGACACGTGATGCTGGGCTGATGTTGTGGCGTTCACTGTGACATTCGCTGCGCCAACTAGCAGTGGGGTATCTGAAGCTGGCTCGTAACCTGAATTTTAGCTCGCAACTCAAAGCAAAAAATCAGCCAAGAGACGGCTCGTATCTCGAAAAACTCGTTAGTCGGGACACTCGTAAGTCAAGGCCCCACTATATATATTTTTCTTTCTGGCAAAGTGTTTATTCAAATCTTTTGCTTTTTTTACTAGATTATATTCTTATATTTCAGTTTAAGAATTCTTTATATATTCTAGATACAAGTCCTTTGTGATATGTCTTTCACAAATATTCTCCCTGTCTGTGACTTGCCTTTTCATTTTCCTAATATTATATTTTGGAGAGCAGGTTTTAACTTTTGATTAAGTCCATCTTATCAATTTTTTTTCTTTTCTAACTTAACTTTTTGTTTCCTATTTATAAAATCTTTGCCAAACCTAAAATCACTAAGATTTTCTTCTGTGATTTTTTTTTTTACAGTTTTAATTCTTACGGTTAGATCTGTAGTCCATTTCTACTTTTACACTTTTGAGCTAATGGATCTATTTCTGGACTTTCTGTTCTATTGGAATTTCTGTTCTATTTGTCTGAATTTCTGTCCTTTTGTCTATGTGACACTCTCTTGATTATTGTAGCTTTATAATAAATCTTGAAATCATGTACTTAAATCCTCCAACTTTTTCAGTCCTCTGTGTGTGTTTTCAAAATCACTTTGGCCCTTTTAGGTTCTTTGTAGTCCCACATCAATTTTAGAATCAATTGATCAATTTCTATTTTAAAAACTGACTTTGGGATTCTGGTGAATCTGTAGGTTGAATTAGGGAAAACCAACATCTTAACAAAATTGCATCTTCTAATACAAAAGCACAGTATATGTGTTTATTTAGGTCTTTAATATTTCTTAGCAGCATTTTGGAGTTTTCAAAGTATAGGTCTTAATACACCTTTTATCAAATATATCCCTAAGTCTTTTAATATTTTTGGTGCTGTTTCAAGTGGTATTGTTTTTTAAATTTCAGTCTCTAATTATTCATTGCCAGTATATAGAAATGCAATTAATTTTGTATATTGACCTTTCATTCCCCACAACTTTGCTAAACTCATTTACTAGTACTAGTTTGAATAGCTTTTTTATAGATTCCGTAAGATTTTATACGTAGGCAAACATGTCATCTATAAATAGTCTTACTTCTTCCTTTTCAATCTGCATGCCTTTTATTTCTTTTTCTTGCCTATGGCACTAAGATTCCAATACATTGTTGACTGGAAGTGGTGAAAGTGGATATTCTTGCTCTTTCCTGATCTTAAGTGGAAAGCATTCAGTCTTTCACCATTAAGAGTGATGTTAGCTGTAAGTTTTACATAGATGCCCATCATCTAGTCTTGTAACTTTAAATATCATTTATATTTACCATTTTAATGTATATATAGAACCCAAACTTCTCCGCATTTATGCTTGTATTCATCTAACTGCTTACTTGATATCTTCTCTCAGATTTTTATAAGGTGTCTCAAACTTGCCAGAATTAAACTTCATATTCTTTCTATACTCTTAAATTGCTTCTCCCACTGGGTTACCATCTCAGTAACTGGCAGCTCCATCCTTCCAACTCCTCAAACCAGAACCTTGGAATCACCCTTTCTTTTTGCTTTTCATACTCCTCTATGAAGTATGTTAGCAAATGCTGTTCCATTTTCATAAAATTGTGACCCCTAAGTTTTAAGCCCTTTTAACCTTCATTTTTGCCTCCTATTCTGTCTCCCTTTTCAAACCCTTGTTCCCTGACATTCTATGCTTAGCATAGCTGTCAGTAATTCTTTTAAAAACTAAAGTATATTTTGTTTTAAGTAATAAAGTTTTAAGATTCAGAAACTGAATTCTTTTACAGATACAAGAAGTAAGAGAGATATTTCTTAAAGTTTTTGAAAAATAAACCAAGCATATTTGGATACATAGTCAATATTGGAAAACATTTTCTCTCTACTTGTGGTTTCTTATTGTTTTTCTTTCCTCTACAAAAATTAGATATGATTATCACTCTCACTGCTGGATTGCTTTGTTTTTCTTATCATGTACTGGATTTTTTTCTATTTCTGAAGTATTTTATTATTAAAATCACACATTTGAAAAAGAACTGTTTGAGAGATAATAAATAGGTTTGACCTTGATTGCCAGCTTCACTGGTTTATAGTCACTGCCTGGAGCAATATGCGGACAAGGATTCTAATGCTCAGCAGATGCTGTGATCAGTTGGCTGCATCTGGTGTGGGTTAGGGACTGGGGAACAGTGTATTTGCCATCTCTAAACTGTGTTAATAGTATAGGCAAATTTTAAATGATAGTTTGCTTTGGCAGTTAGTGCTTCAGTAGTTATTAGTGATCCTTTATATTTTTGGCAAAGTACATTGAAACAACAAATAGTTTAAGACTGAAGTTTTAAGGACAAATATGAAACTTTGCTAACTTTGTTTAAAAAGATATGGAGGAATCTGCAAGTAACTGGTTAATTTCATAATTAAATTATTTAACACAGTAACACTCAGAGTCAGTAAGGACTATATATTCAATAATGTTTTCAAGGCAGGAGGTTTTGAGACATAATTTACATACAGTATAATTTACTTTTGGGGGTTTTATAGTCCTGTGTGTTTGGGCAAATGTTTACAACAGTAGTGTAACCATAATCACATTAGAGATAGAATGTTTCCATCATCCCAATAAGTTTCCTTGTACCCTAATTAGAAGTTTAACCTAAAAATGTCCTCGAGAAATATCTTTTATTTATCATATTTAAATATTTAAAGCATAAAAATTTGAAATAGTGCCATTTGCAACAATGTGGATGGATATTAAGAGTATTATGGCCCTAGGTTGGTTTGGCTCAGTGGATAGAGCGTCAGCCTGCAAACTGAAGGGTCCCACGTTCGATTCTGGTCAAGGGCACATGCCTAGGTTGTGGGCTTGATCCCCAGTAGGGGACGTGCAGGCGGCAGCCAATCAATGGTTCTCTCTCATCATTGATGTTCCTATCTCTCGTTCCCTCTCCCTTCCTCTCTGAAATCAATAAAGATATATATTTTTTTTAAAAAAAGAGTCTTATGCTAAGTATAATAAGTCAGATGGGAAAGGACAAGAACCATACGATTCCACTCAGAAATGGTATAGAAAGCAAAAAGCAATAAACAAACAAATTAAAAAACATACTCATAGATACAGACAACTGAATGGTGGTTACCAGAAGGGAAGCAGAGGGAGGACAAAGAGGGTAAAGGGGGTAAAATACATGGTGATGGAAGGAGACTGACTTCAGGTGGTGAGCACACAATAGAGTATACAGATGTATTATAAAGTTGTACACCTGAAGTTTATATAATTTTATTAACCAGTATTACCCCAATAAATTTGCTAATAAGAAAAAAGAAAAATATTTATTTAAATGACATTGAAAATTAATTTAAGGATATGTTTTTCAGCATAATTGTACCAAGGAAATTATCATTTCTGCTTAGCTCCTTCAAAAAAAAAAAAAAGAATACTTTAACATAACACTGCATCATATTGAAGTGCTTTATCTTTTAATATTACAGAAGAAAATTCCACAAGACAGAGTGAGGATTTGGGAAGTCAGTTTACAGAAATTTTTATTAAGCAGCAAGAAAATGTCACTCTCCTGTTATCTTTGTTGGAGGTAAATAAAGAACCTTGTCATTTTTGTCATCTTAATAAGCTTCTTTTTTACCCTTTTGGGTAAAGCATTATATATATATATCTTTAAAATAGTGAGATTTGCTGTATCATTGCAAGAGATTCACATGCATATTTTAAGAACTATATAATCTGTTAAAGTGCTCAGCTTATTTCCAGTTTTACAAAACACTGTTTTATCTAGTCAGTAACAGTGAATAAGTTTGAGCAATTTATATCAACTCTATTTTTGTTTTTTTATTTCTTAAATTAAAGTTTGAAAAAATTTTGTTTGTGGTTTTTAGCACCACTATTAAGTTGAAAAAAACAACACATGTGTGTGTTTTAAATGTAAACATTTTACATTCTTACCTTCCAGGACTTTGACTTCCATGTCCGATGGCCCGGTGTGAAGCTTCTTACTTCTCTTTTGAAGCACCTAGGGCCTCAGGTGCAGCAAATTATTTTAGTTAGTCCCATGGGTAAGTGACTTATCTTCTTTAAATCATTTTGATTTAAAAGTCAGGATCATTCCTAAAGAGGGGGACTGAAATGATGTGTTAATAAATTGTTTATAACTTGAATCACTATTTGTGTTTTTGATCTGCCAGTATTTTTTTTTTTCACATGGTTGTGTGTTCTAGGTGTTTCAAGACTGATGGACTTATTAGCGGATTCCAGGGAAGTTATACGTAATGATGTAAGTTAAATTTGAAAAACAAGCCTAAGAATATGCAGCTTTATTTTTTCTTGCTTTGCAAATTAAATATTTGTTGATTAGGTTCCAGTTCCCCTTTTTGCTAGGCTATTTCCTAGCTGATGAGTGTTCTTAATTTTACAATACATCGGGAAATGTGTAACATTTGGCTGTCTCACTTTTAGTAATCAGTGGGTTTGATTCAGGTGGTTACAGCCAGATCACTCTATTATAAAGCTGTCAACCTTACCTTAAATTCATCCATTACATCTGATTATCCATTAATGATTATTGCTTAAATAGCTTATTTTGTTGAGAACTACAACATGATGATTTTTATAATTTTATTATTTTACATTTATGAAGCTGTGATCTTACACAAAGAATTTTACTTTATCAACTTGTCTACTTTGTTTATTCTGAAATACATTTTATACATGAAAGACCAGATAAATAAAATCAACCTTTTAGTTGTCAGTTTTTAAAGTAAGGAATTGGTGCCCACGTACTTTCAAATGACCAGATCAGATACTTTCATTCTTAATAACATTTTAGTGGATGTGTTTGATTAGAGCAATATATTTCTTAACAGGGAAAAGAAACACATGTACTGGGAAATTAAAAGTTGCATATAAAAAAAGTAACAAAGATATTATCCTTGTTTTACACATAAATGTACTAATACTCAGAATTTATGTAATTTGCTTAAAGTTGCACAGCTAGTAACCAGGACAACCATTTTTTAAACCCACTTTATCAAACTCAGAGCCTTAGTATGCTTTCTACTGTATTCCTTCCTCCCTTTGTTAGCAGTTAAACTCAAGTTGGCAGCATTAGTAGGAAAATTTCACATCTAAAAATAATCATTTTAAAAAATAATAAAATAAATAAAAATAATCATTTTTGCCTTTCTCATCTTTTTTTTTCTTCTATTTTTTCTTTTTATTATTATTAGTTAAGGTATTACAAATGTGTCCTCATCCCCCCCATTAACCCCCAACCTCCCCCACACACACAAACTCATGCTCCCATCCCCCTGTTGTCCATGTCCATTGGTTTGGCTTATATACATGTATACAAGTCCTTCGGTTGATCTCTTCCCCTTACCCCCGCCCTCCCCTACTTTCCTTCTGCGGATTGATAGCCTGATCGCTGTTTCTCAGTCTTTGGGTCTGTCCCTTTTGTTCTCTATAATCCACAAATGAGTGAGATCATGTGGTATTTATCTTTCTCTGACTGGCTTATTTCACTTAGCATAATGCTCTCCAGTTCCACCCATGCTGTTGCAAAATTGCCTTTCTCATCTTAATGTTGAGACTTGACAGGACAATTCAAAGAACAAGCTCAAAAAGGCCATGGGCATTTTTTTGTCTTATGCGAATACTTATCTGCCCAGTACTGATAGCAAAGAGCTAATTTGCCTCTTTGGTACTTTGGAACCACCTATTTGCTATTCCTTTGTTTTATAGTGAAAGAAGCAGAAATGGGTAGCAGTGAGTTTTTCTTGAATGTTAAGAGGTTGCAGAATCCTATAGTATATAATAAAGAGCTGATATGCTAATTAGACCAGACAGCTGAACGACCCTCTGGACGACATTTGGACAAAGCTGGGGCTGCGAGGGCCGAGCCTCTTGCACGAATTTTGTGCATCAGGCCTTTAGTATGTAAATAAAATCCAACATAATAGGAGCTGAGAAAAGCTAAAAATCAGAAGCAAAACTGTGAATTGTCTCAATCTGGATATGCCAGAATTGAGTTTTGGAAATTTGGGGGAATCGTAAGAATATCTGAATTTTCTGTGCTACAATGTGATGATATTCATTGATTTATATTCTTGAATTCACAATTTAATGTAATTGCTATTGTGAAGCATGTGCAGAGGCATTCCTGAGACAGATATAATGCTTAACTCTTAACACCACAATGAAAGTTGTATAGTGATTGATGAATATGCAAGAATTATTGTATGTTTATGTTTACAGTGAAAAGAGAACTGAATTGGGAATTGGTAGACATGGATTTAAGTCTAGGCTCTCTCCTTGTTTTCCTTATCTATGAATTAAAGGGATTGGACTGGTGAAATTCCTATCACTTCTAAAATTCTATGGTTTTTGAGAGTAATTTTAAAATGTCTTATAAAACTTGTACTCCACTAAACATTATTTTTCTTCTCCGTAAGGGTGTCTTACTACTACAAGCACTAACAAGAAGTAATGGCGCAATCCAGAAAATTGTTGCTTTTGAAAATGCTTTTGAGAGACTACTGGACATTATTACAGAGGAGGGCAACAGTGATGGAGGTACAGTATGAATAGATTTATTTTAAGTGATTCCTTTTGTGCTCACTAAACTGTTAATTTCTGGAGAATACACTTGAAGGAAGAAATGAGTACTCTCACTTTATATTCTTTTTTTCACTATGATGTGTTGTGTATAGATTTCTTTTTATTCTGTCTAATATTTGTTAGGCATCTGGAATCTAGATTAGTGCCTATCATAATTTCTGGAGAAATCTCAGCTATATCTCTTCAAATACCACTCTGCCACATTTTCTCCTCTTTTTAAACTCAGATTCAATTCTCTGTCATCTGTCATTTAACTCTCACCTATTGTCTTACTTTTTCTTCTGTGTTGTCCATCTTTATGTCTTTCCAGCCTTTATTCTGGATTTTTTCTTCTGATTTGTTTTCTATTTCAACAATTCTCTCTTCATCTATATTTAATTTGCTAATAAATGTGTTCATTTCATTGAGGGTTTTTTTCCAATTATATTGAGATATAGTTGACATACAGCACTGTATAAGTTTAAAGTGTACAGCATAATGATTTGATTTACATATATTGTGAAATGATTACCACAGTAAGTTTAGTTAACATCCATCTATTGATTTCTTATGAGGTTTTTTTATCCTAACCCAAGGATATGTTTTATTTTTTTTTTAAATTGGTTTGAGAGAGAGAAAGACAGACACCAATGTGAGAGATCATTGGTTGCTTCATGTTTGCACACTCACTGGGCAACCTAGGTATGTGCCCTGACTGGGAATCGAACCCACAACTTTTTGGTGTACAGGATGATGCTCCAACCAACTGAGCCACCAGGCCAGGGCAATCCATTGACTTTTTAATGTTTCTTTTCTGGAAGTACTGTTTGGTTCTTTGGTAAATGTGTGTGATTTTTTTTATATAATTTCTTTTTTCTGCAGTTATTTTCAACTACCTTTTATTTCTTTGAACATAAACAATTATTTCATGGTCTCTGTCTGATAATCTCAATATTTTCCGTCTTTGTGGGTCTGGTACTTTTGCTCTGCTCATTCTTGTGCATGGTACAATATTTTCTGAGTACATGGTTATCTTTCACTATGGGTTGTTGTACTTAACAGAATTATTTATAGGAATTTAAAGCCTAGGATGAAGGAAATTTCTTTCAGAGAAAGCATATGTTAGTTTCTGCCAAGCCTTGGGGGATCACATTAATCCAAATTCAAGACGTGAGATTTCCTAGAACACTCAGGCAATGCAAACTGAGGCTGCAAGATCTATGAGGACTAGTTAACTTCTGGTCACTCTCACCCTGAAGATAAAGCCCTTTGAATTCTCAGCTTATTAGGTGGAGAGTTTTCTGTTAGTTTTCCTTCCCACCTTGTGTATGCTCCTGACTTTGGTTTATTTTTTCTCTACCCCAATCTAAAGATTTGAGAGTGTTTACCACTGGTTCTCAACCTTCTGGCCCTTTAAATACAGTTCCTCATGTTGTGACCCAACCATAAAATTATTTTCGTTGCTACTTCATAACTGTAATGTTGCTACTGTTATGAATCGTAATGTAAATATCTGATATGCAGGATGGTCTTAGGTGACCCCTGTGAAAGGGTCGTTCAACCGCCAAAGGGGTCACAACCCACAGGTTGAGAACCGCTGCTTTAGACTGTAGATGATAAATAAAATAAAATTAGATAAACAAGAAAGATTAGATGAGTCACTTAGGATGAGTGCAGAATGAGAATGGAAATGCTAGGATAGAACCTACGGTATGCCAATAGTTAAGGGATAGTAAAGGAGTAGTTGGTAAAAGAGACTGAGAAGGAAAAGGCTGAGAGACAAGAGGAAAACTGCATTTTTAGGTGGGTCAGGGGAATGGGTAGCAGAGATGTGTCTATGGGATTTAGTACATGGACATCATTAGTGACATTTGTGAGAGCAGTTGTGTAATAGTATTTGCCTCAGAATCCAGATTGCAGTCTCAAGGAGTGAATTACAAGTGGGAAAGTAGAATAGTAAATAAAATTTATATAAGGAATTTGGAAAAGGCACGGGAGAGAGGTAAACATGAACTGGAGGTTTGACACGGATGTTTGTGTGTTTTTTGTTTTTATTTGTTTTCTTGATTTTAGAGAGAGAGGTAGGGAGAGGGGGAGAGAGAGAGAAACATGGATGTGAGATAGAAACATTGATCTGCCTCCTGCATGCCCCCTACTGTGTATCAAGCCCACAACCTGGACATGTGCCCTGACCGGAAATTCAACTGGCAGCCTTTTGGTGTATGGGCCAATGCTCACCTGCAAGGGAGCAATGGATGGTTTTTATGTTCTTAAATTTTTTATTGACATGAAATATTTCAAACATACAGAAAACAATAGAAATAGCATAACAAACACTTGAGCACCTACCATTTAACTCTATTAAATGCTTACATTTTGCCATTCATATATCATTTATTTTTTTTAATAAATAAAACACAACAGATAGTTAAGTGTATAACCATTCTAATATTTTCCCCAACCTTCCTTCTCTAAAATCACAATATTCTGATTTTGTTGTTTTTCCTTCCTATGTGTGCTTTCATATTTTCAGTACTTATTTGTGTGAGTCTATATATACACATTATACACATCTATATATATAAAAGCCTAATATGCTAAGTGTACGACTGTTCATTCGACCAGTCGCTGTGACATGCACTAACCACCAGGGGGCAGACACTCTGACCGGTAGGTTAGCTTGCTCCTGGGGTCCAGCTGATTGGGACTGGGCAAGACAGGCTGGACACGCCCTGGAGCCCTCCCGCAGTCCCTCCCAGCCAGCCAGCCCCAATTGGCTCCAATCAGGACTGAGCGAGACAGCCCCGATTGGGACTGGGCAAGACAGGCTGGACATGCCCTGGAGCCTTCCTGCAGTCCCTCCCCTGCCCCAGTCATGCACTGGTGGTGTCCCTCGCCTGGCCTATACCCTCTTGCAATCCATGACTCCTTGGGGGATGCCAGAGAGCTGGTTTCCGCCCAACCCCCACAGGCCAGGCCAAGGGACCCCACCAGTACACGAATCCTTGCACCGGGCCTCTAGTATATTCATAAACAATATATAGTATTATTTTGCAATATATAGTATTATATAGCTAAACAATAGATAGTATTATTTTGTAATATACAGTATATAGATAAGGAGTATTCTAAATATAATTTTACATCTTACTGTTTATTCAACATTTTTTTTAGATTTATTTATATTGATACATGTTTCCAGTTGGTTACTGGAAATTCTTTATGTATTCTGGATACTAATCCTTTGTTCATTATACATTTTCTAGTCTGTTTATAGTGTTTCTATTAAAATTTAAAATTTTAATGTAATCACTATTTTATAGTTTATGTTTTTGTGTCTTGTGAACGATAGCTGTCTCCTAACTCAAGGTCGTAAAGAGATTTTCCATCATTTTCTTCTACTAAAGACTTTAAAATTTTGTCTTTTACATTTAATTAATATGGATTTTGCATTTGAACAATGGTATGAAGTTTGTAATTAAATTTTCATATGTATGAAGGTCTGTTTGTGAGTTCTGTATTCTGTTCCAATAGTCTGTCTAACTCTCTACCAAAATAACAATCTTAATTACTAAAGCTTTCCTACCTTTTAGAATAGAGGAAAAGTCTCCTGTCTTGGCTCTTTTCAAAATTGTATTAACATGCCTTTTCTTTTTTGTCCTTTCATTTGAATGCAACTTGTCTACTAGTCAAGTTCTATGAAAATCCCTGCTGGAATTTTGCTTGGAAATATATTGACTTTACAGATTAAGGAGAATAGCCATGTTTACTGTATTGACTTTTCCACCCATAAACCATGGTATATCTCTTAATTTATTCAGGTTTTATGTCTTTCAGTCATGTTTTATAATTTTGAGCAAAAGAACCGTATACCTTTTTTAGTAGATTCATTCTTAGGGATCTTACAGTGTTTGTTACCATATGAACAGAATCTTTTTCTCTTACATCCTCAAATTGGTGGTTACTACTTGAATTTTGTATATTGATCTTATATCCAATTAGTTCTATTAGGCTTTTTGTGTAGATAATCACATTTTCTACAAACAAGAGTAATCTTTTTTTTCCCCTTTTCAATTCTTATACCACTTTTCTTTTCATCTTATTTATTTAATTAGAATCTTTACAGTGTTAAATGTTGCTGACCTTAATAAAAATGTTGATGCCTTTACCATTAAGTTTGATTTTTACTAAGTGTTTTTATCATGCATGAATCTTGAATTTTAGTAAATGATTTCTTTGTACATATATGAAAATTATCAGATTATTCTTCTCCTTTAATCTATGAGGGCTTTTTCTTTTAAAATGGGAGAGACTCCAATCACATAAGTAAGGGGAGATGGGAGAGATACAGGAGAGAGAGGATGATCAATCAGTGGTACTTAATACCCAGCGAGGAGAAAGAAATGACATCCAGGCTAGAGGAAGAAATTGACTTAAGAGAAGAAGGGGAGTTGAATTGAAGGAAGAGTCATATTCAAAGAGTAAAAGAAGAGGACATAGTTAATTAAGGAGATTAAAAAATTATCTTTTGGAGAATAGGAGAGTTAGTTGAATATTTTAATTAGGAAATTTCAAGACAGGGATAAAGGCCTCATTAATGGTGTTGACCATGATTTTACAGAAGAGTAGATTGCCCCCTCGTCATCATCCCAAATACTCAGCTACCTAGGTGAAGATGTAGAAAAAAAGCCAGGCAGGTGATTTTTCACAGTTTTGTGCCTTTTCTAAGAAGGTGCTATGAAAAGACAAGGGAGTTTAGCATATTATCTATAAAGTGGAAGAAATGAAGATCTATATAATCTTATTTATATAGGGAAGGAAGTAAAGACAGGAGGTTTCTAAAAAGGGAGAAAGACTTGTTAATGGATTGAACATCTCAGGGAAGGCATAGTACAGATATGTTGAGAATTCTTGAGCTAGGAAGATAGGAGGTTTTAGTAATAGAGAATTACCTCTTAAGATGACACCAAGGAACT